ATAATAAAATAACTTGTTAATGGTTTCTCGAGTAGATCTGTAATGAGTATACACGCAAAATATAGATAACATTCAAAAAAATTATGTTTCTTCACATTAATATTTCAATGAGGTGTACACTGTACACCGCGATAGACATTATCCTAGCCATTTTTCTTCTCTACAAAGTTTGTTAAATAATTTTTATACCGTGACAATGATCAGTAATTAATTATGTTGTTGTTTTAGTCAGTTTATTTATATCACTGTAGTTACTATAAAGACAGATAACAGAGCTTAAAACCATTTTTCTTTAATTCATTCGAAAAAGAGGTATATATTCAAGAAAGCAAAGTAGTCACCAAGCAGCAGATTTTCTTCTCATCGCTTGTTAGTACTCATGGATCAATCGCTCAATGAGCTAAACACTCACTTTTATTCTGAAATTGACGAATCTCTATCTGCTTTGTGTTTTGAAAAACACTTAGTTATTACTAACTCACAAAAACATGGCTTATTGTCGATTGGATAGATATGTACTTAATTACTGAATTGAAATAGAACATCATGATGAATTACTGCAAGTATTCAGAAAAATGGTTAGTGAATACTAGTTTTCCGAATAAACTTTGGAACAGACCTTGATTCAAAATAACCAGCGTTATATATATATATATATATATATATACCGATGCTGCTACTATGGTGACATTAAAAAAATTCAAATGGAACATGAAATCTTTCAATAATGCAATTTCTCATCTTTGTTTATAAAAAAATATTTTATTATTGTCTTTCATTAATGGGCTAGTGTCTTATTTCATTATGCCTTCTCCATACTCATTAAAAGTGCACGATCTTATCTACAAAATTTGTTTTTATACAATAACTGCCAATCTTTCTGTAATTCCTATAGTTTATTACAGATTACCTCATTTGCGCACCAAATTTTGTTTTAGAAAACACTTGTATTCTATCCCTGTTATGTTTCGCGGGATAATTGGACTGTATCGTATATATATATATATATATATATATATATATATATATATATATACGCTTCAAGCAATCGCATTTTATGATATATGCCAGATCCAATGTGGTACATAATCCCAGCGATATTTAAAGACAATACAGCTGAGTTATCAAGACTATTATTTCTGAACGGTCAAACTCTTGCCTGAAATTGCATCCGGTTACTGTGACGTCAAGAATTGGTTAAAGTATACTCTCGCTTTCACTTGAATTCCCTCCTACTGCAGAAAACTTTATTCAGTGTGTTTGTAATCCAATTGTTTATACGAATATGTATAGTGTGTCGTCACAGTTTTAGTATCACTTCCATGGTTTATTTATTGTGTTTTATTAAACTCTACAGTCCAAATGAGTGTATTGAGTGTAATTTCCTAATTATGTTGCAAACAAATTAATCATTTTTCAGTATTATATCGAATAATCAGTGCTATATCTTCGCCTTTACTAATCACTTTCTAACATAAAAGTGTTTTCTTTGTTGATATCTTCTCCCAGTTATAAATGGATAGGCATTTTCTTTTATTCTCTTGGCCAACTGTATTTGGTTTATCATTTTTTTTAGCGTTTTTATTTTAAAAATCAATAGACAGCACATTATGTCTAGCAATTAGGAATATTTTATTTTTGGCTAACTGAAGATTAATTCCTTCCTAGTCTTGTTGTTTCAGAGGTAGCGTGGTAGATATCATGCTTGTGTATTAAATGGATGATGACTCATGCTTAGGGTAAATATATATTTAAACATATATACATATATCTCTTAGGCGAATGGTTTTTATAGAGGTCGTGTTGTTAGCATTGTTACAATTTAAGTCATGTGCGCTTTGTCTAACCTTTTTTATTATCCCACCCAAGTTTATAATAATTCTTCTGTGTTATGCATGTGAACGTCATCACTCAGTCATAACTAGACTAGCATTGAGCATTGTTTTCATTTGTATCTTTTATTAATTATCTCTAAGTTGATGTGTGTTGTATGTATCTTATGTTCATCATCATTAAGGGATTTTAATTACGTTGTACTATTTTGGCTTAGTTTTTTCATTTCCAAATTTATCTTCACATGACTAATCAGTACCTTTATTGTTTTTATCTCTTTTTCTATCCATTTCGTTGTTAACATTCAAATATATTTTCATAGGGTCGATCATATATGTGTTTATGCCCCATTAGTGACCTACTTTTTTTCATGTTTTTTTAAGTTTGAACTTTAGTGTTATTAACGTCCCACTTACCGTTGATTCGCATCCAGTAAACGTATGTATATGATATTGACGATATTTAATCCGGTATTCTTTTTTGAAAGTCATTTTATACTATACTTTACACACACACACCCTCCCATGCTTTCTGACAACAAGTCGTGTGGATATGATCGTAAACACAATCATCCAATTCAAAACAGTTTTTCATCAGACATAAATAATAATAATAAAGCTTGAAATGTTTATTGTTTGGCAAATGTTTACAAACATCATCCACTTATATATGTCTGTATGTTCTAATACTTATTCCTTTGTTCAACTGTATGACAGTTCTTTATTGTCTACCTTAGGGTTTTTTCGTATCGATCTCAACGCTATAATATTATCGTTATTATTTTCTGACTGACTTATGGATTACCTTGTTTTTCTGAATCGTGTTTTTCATTAGAGTTTTCTTTCAATAAATATTGCAACTTGCAATAATATATATACATTACACCTTTCAACCCTTGTGGGGCACAGACGACCGACCAGGGATTTCCAACCTGCTTTGTCCTAGACTTTTCTTTTCCAGTTGTTCCCAAGTAGTATTCATGATTTCAATATCTGCCTCTTTCCCTTTAGGCTTCATGATTCCAAGTTAGGACTTGCCTCGTGATGCAGTTTGATGATTTCCGTAAAATGTGACCTATTCACCCCCAGCATCGTCTCTTAATATCCTCCTCATCTGAAAGCTGGCTTGTTCTCTGCCAGAGTAGGTTATTGCTGATGGTTATTTAGAATAAATGAAAGTAGCTAAAAACTTATCACAATTAGCTTCCATATAAAACGATATCTATATTTGATAGGTATAGTAGTCCATATATATATAATAACCGATAATCTCCGAAGTTGGACGTTTGTTTGTTATTTTATGTTTTAATGAATTGATGTATATTTCTGGAACATTACATAACATAATAATAAAATCTGTCATTGACGATAGATAAAATATTTTTTCATAATCGACGACGCGACCATATTTCATATTTTATAAATATTTTGAGAATGTCTATCAGTTGTTATTTTAATGTTTTATCTTAAATCAATTTTCGCATTTAAGTGTATACTATGATATACGTAACTACAATTCTTTTCATGTCTATGTATTCTTATAAACTGAATTGAAATCCAGACAAATTTTTATCCTACAGTATTGATGTTGGTGAATATTTGCCTAACTCGTATAAATGGTGAACCAGAATGTATTAAACCTTTTTTCATTCTCAACATATGTTTATCATATAAACTATTTATGATAAACGGGAGGTAGGTGTAAAATGAATAAATTATTTATTCTCTTGACAGTATTAGAAATGTTACATAAGTGACCGGAGTAATTCGCTTTCGTAATGTCTATTTCTTTACAGCATCAATGATATTTAAGTATAAATTGGAAACAGTTATGTAAGCAAATGTTTTATGTCTTTCTTTTCGGAAACAGAAGAAATTTCAACAGGTGTTTTAGTCCATATTCAGCAATCTTCAGTAGTACATATGCACAACATTACATAGAATCTGATTTGTCAATTTTAAGTATCACGACTAGTATAGTTTCACTTATCTAGTAATCATAATCAATGGTGTACGTTTTCTAGCTTTAAATTATTTACGAGTATTATTATTATTATTATTATTATTATTATTATTATTATTATTATTATTATTATTATTATTATTATTAGACTTCATTACTAATTATCCACCTCAATCGCTATGTGCTTGATTACAAAGTAAGGGATTTGCTGAGGTGTCTTAAAATATTATTGTTGGGGATGTCAAATCCCCAGAACATACTTGGTATTTTATTAAGAATTTTCATGATATAAGAGCTCTAGACAATTGTGTACATATCACTTCATTCAGTGTTGACACTTGTTTAACCAATTGTCTGTTTGGATTTGGATTTCTATCGGCAATTGTCTTTTTTCGCAGTTTAACAGTTCAACTCATTGTTATCCATCTTTCTTTGTTTCCTTTTTCACATATTTATGTTTCATTTAAAATATGCCAACTTGAATCATTTCATATTTATTCCATTCAGAACGTTGTTTTTAACTGACAGTTTGTTTTCATAATTATTGATTGTGAATTGTTGTTATTTTTTCTATCATCATTGTTTAGTAATTAATGAACGGCGATATACGTTTTGTAGTTTTGCTTTCCTACATTCTATTGACAATGAATAAGTATTTCACCAGCGACTTTTATGCTAACTTTATAATTAGAGGTTCTATTAAATAGGAATGATATCTTTGTAAAATCTCAGCGAATGAATTTAAAGTAAATCCAACGTTTTGTCTGGCAATCTGGTCCAAGCTTTTCCTTGCCACACGAAACGTTGGATTTACTTCAAATTCATTCGCTGAGATTTTGCAAATATATTATTCCTATTTAATGTCTTACATCAACTCGGCGCCCAAATACTGTGAAACTATCCGCTCTAATAGGTTCTATTATTTTTTAAAGTCTTTACTAGTTTATTTTTCAGTCATATAAGTACTATGCAAAGTACGAACTGTTGATTTAGTTCATGTGAAAATCAAACCTATTCAATTTATTTTAACTTTATGTTAATTAGGAAAGACGTTTCATTCGTAATTGTTAAATGTCCTGAAATCGATAAATTTATTCTTTATTTCTGGGCATGCACCATTTTAAATTAATAATTTGTTTAATTCAAACATGGCATTGTTCCTATAAGATTTTTTATTCGATTCATATTGATTCACTTCATTATAGGTTCTTGTGATGCTGCTGATTTTCTTCGTGAAGCTCAAACAATGAAACGTTTACATCATCCCAATCTGATACAATTGTACGCTGTTTGTACACAGACAGAACCTTTCTATATTGTTACAGAATATATGTCAAAAGGTTCTTTATTAAACTACTTACAATCTCCCGAAGGTCATGCACTAGATATGCAATGTTTAATTATGATGGCTGCTAAAATAGCTTCTGGTATGGCATATCTTGAATCTAGGCGTCATATTCATCGAGATTTAGCTGCTAGAAATGTTCTAGTTGGTGAACAACATGCTGTGAAAATAGCAGATTTCGGTCTTGCTCGTATGATTCATGTAAGTATATTGTATTTGCAAATTAGTTGGTATTCATTCCATATCCTTACTGTTTTAATTTTTCACTCAGTATTATCTTATAATTTATAAATGACTAGGGGATTAGTTTTCTTCAATGTCTTTCTGCTTTTATTTGTACGTCTATTCATATATTCAGGAATTCTTAAAGTAATCATTCTTATCACTTTGATATTTATTAATTAGGTGATTTTCACCCCATATATATGCTCATTGATTCCTGGTTATGCATGTGTGATATGTACAGCGGTTTCTGTAATTGCAAATACCTTATTACATGGATCTGTGACAATATAATCTTGTCAACCAATAGGTCGCATGTTCATAACCCGCTCCACTTAGTTGAATTCATACTACTGGATAGTACCAATAATCTTTATAAAATTTGTATAACTAATAGGCGAGTACATAAACTTGTACTTGACAAGTGCGTTTCATTACATTACTTATATAATATATGCACATAGTTTTGCAATTACGTCTTCAGACTTCATATCAGTGACAAACTGTTAGTCTTCTAAAAAGTATCCGAAGGAACAACTTCCTAATTATGTGTTGAAAGGGGTGAGCATTATAGTCAGACAGTCATGTGCAACGTAGAAGCTGGCAAATGTGTGCATCGGTTCAAATTGTCATACCACAACGAGATTTAATAATCAAGGTGAATCCCATACTAGTAACAGTATCAATAGTATTAGTATCAGTAGAAAACATAGGTACTAAGAAATCTAAAATAGTATATAAGAAAATGCTGCGACTCGGGATCTTTGGAGAAGACGAAGCGACCCCGATCATAGAGATATAAAATATCCAACCATAGAAAGAATCTCAGTCAACTTTTTGTAAAGTTTCTTCATCTTATCGTGATTTAGATGTAGTTTCAAGGAAATGAAGGTGACTAAATGCGGAATACTTCGAAAGGACAAGGGACGAGGCTTTTAGCTATCTGTTGAAAATTGGAGACGTTTTTTAAGTGACCTCATTGTTTAAATTGATTTTTTCTTCCTATTACTAATTTTCGTTGTTTTCAGATAGTAAAGTTGTTTATAATGTAATGGTTCAGAATTAAATTACCCAGTAACTTAGACCAATAAATTTTATTATGTCATCAGGTATAACGAATAGAACTTTTTTCCATCAGCAATCGATTAGTTGTATAAACAATTCACCATAATGAATAGTGTTAGTAAAGGAGAATGCTGGTTGTTGTATATATGTGCGTACTTCCATTAGTCCAAACTTTTTAATCACGAGTTACTCTTCTCTCACAAAAAAAAATTATTTTATTAACTTGATGCGCTAACTTTCTTTGTAAGGCAAATGTCATACATAAACTATTGATTAGTTCATTCCTATTTTGTCACGAGTAAATAAAATTAACCAAACTTCATCTTGATTAAGTTTTGTTGCATCTTATTAAAGAAAACTACTTTACAGTATTCAATTGATAAGTACGCACCAATTACAGAAATATTCAATTAATGTCAACTACTTTCTTATACATCTTCACCAGTTTATATATATATATATATATATCCTAGAAAAATTTTCACTGTTAGTCTGAGCACAATTTTCTGTTTAACCCCACATAGCAATGTATATTTCTTTCCTCAAATTTTATGGTGTTTATGTAAGTATTCATCGTTAAGTAAGGGAAAGTAGCCGTCTTAAAACAATTTCATTACTAAGGTATTGTGTTTATCTGAAAACATTTATTTGTATTGAACTAGCGATGAATGATAATGTTCTCCGTAAACTTAATGCTTGTAGATTTTTAAAAATTTGATTTAGTTACTATGTTGAATTTCTTCGTCATTTTAGCGGTTTGTTCATAATATTCTTTAGTTATTTGACTTTTGATGAAGCTGCATGGGAACTATGTAGTAATAATCAAAATGTTTTTAAATGTTAGTGTCTAAGTAGATATCTATGTACTTGCTTTTGAAGCCTGGTTATTGTGTGAAGACTGATGTTCCGACCTGAAACTCGGTAGTTGAAATGTAAATGTTTTGACCATTATACTATCTTTTCTGATTAGTTTAAATTAATAAATGTTTATAACATTGCAGAAGGTGTAAAAACCAGAAAAATATTAAAATAAATGGAAGGTAAAAAGACGAAAAATTATCTGGTAAAATGATTTTCATAATTCAGAGAGGAAGATCATTTGGAACTATATGAGGTTGGCTTTTTGACCCTCATCATTTCAGATCTAATATTTAGCAAGACCATCATAATCAGAAACTTTCTGATGAGCAGTCAATCCTCAAAAATACCTGTTAAATTTTTTCGAAACTCTTTCTACACTCTGAGAGCACAGTGGATAAACTTTTTAATTGTCTTTCAGCGTACGTTCTATTTACCTAGTTACCTGTATCTCAATTATGTTTCCATTGTCTTTTAATTATAACTTGAAGGTGAATAATTTCTAACTATGATGTGTTTCTTGAAAAGAAAATCAATACTCACTGATGTCAGTAGTTTATGTTTATAGCCTTAATGAAAAGCTAGGTTCAAATCACGTGTAGATTTTCTCTATCATCTATTATTATATACATGTGATGCAATATATCTTCAGTAATGAACATAATAAAATCATACAAACGGTGCGCTATATAAATGTAAGTGGGAATGTAACGCTATAACAACTTGTGGCCATTAAGGCGACAACCTCTTGTTACCAAAAAATCCAATATTATAAGTAATTCATAAGTTTGTGGTCAATTCCAAAGCATGCTGTTGTTCTATGTCTCCCACGATCACCTTTAATATTTTAAATGCTTGTTGATAAATTCGTATTTTTCAAATAAATCGCCTATTATAATCTTGTTATATCGCAGTTCTATCTCCACTAGTCTACAAGTAGTATTGTACACTCAAGATTTAAGTAACAGGGGACTCATAAATATATTTTCCATTTGTTTCAATTTGTGGGAATTAGCATCCCGGTCAGTTGGATGATGCTCTACACTAACCTAAACAATTACATTCCATTTGCTAAGGTTTTGCCAAAAAATATTCACAGTAACTTAAAAAAATTCGAACTAAAGAGATTTCCTTCCATAGATTGCAATCATGCAGAAATAAGAAAATTCAAATTATAGTTGATTTGTGCTACACTATTTAAATTTCGTCCGTAATTATTTCGTCAACCCCACGCTGAAGAATTTTTTATGTTTACTATCAGTGTTATTGGTTGACATATTAATGTAAAAATATATTGTTACCTTGATAGACAGTATAGTAAATCATTATTTTATTATTAGGGTCCGTAATCAAGCTATATTGACTAATACACGCATAGATGTGCACATACACACATGTACATAAAAGGGCTTGACTTCAGCACAGTACTATTACTACTACTACTAATACTGACTCGTCTTTTCACCTAGAACACTGTTTCAGTTCAAACATTTTTACAATATCTTTCATAAGATATCAAGTTTACTTTTCGAAAATTCATTTCAAAAATTTAATACACTGTTTAAATAGTAAAAAAGGATAGACCACAGGCCTGGCATCCAACTTTTACTCCTTTCTTACCATCTTAGTCACAGTAACAATTATAACAAAATAATGATTGTAATGTGACAGTTCATATATGTATACTCGGGTTGACACATATTCTTTATATGAGGACTAAATAGTGCTATCGAGTACTATTCTTATCAAAATGAGATTCTCATTTCCAACTTTTGGTTTAGAGTCACGTATCTTTGTGCATTTCGCATTGATGAATCCTAAACCTTGGTTTGACAGTAGTAACATGGATTAACATAATGAAAGCAAGCGTTTTAGTAATACTTGAACCGTATTCAGGTCATAGTAAGCAAGACAACCAAAAGGATATTGATACAATACAGTCAAATGAATTGTGATGCTGTGAAATTGGAATGCCAATATAGGGGATTTGTATTTTGAACATAAATATGAGTTCAGAATTAAGCATATGAACAAGTACAGAATATATGTTACATTATTTTATTTTTATTTATTTAAACACATAAATATTGGTACAAGGAAGCACCAGATAAATATGCGCCTCACAAATCTCATTTGACTTGTGTGAGGGCTGTGATACTGCCCAGGTGCCCAAACTGAAGCAGGTGGTTTTCTTAGGGGACCACACCCGGAGCCTTTGACCTAAAGATCTGATCCACAAGGCAGTAGAGCATCGTGAGGAGATGCAGTCCCATGGTAGCCGGTGACCAACAATAGGTTCATACTCCATTCGTTCCATCAGGATACTGGAGCTCATGTGCACCACTGGTTTGGAATCAGGGTTTTCCAACTCCCCTAGGTGGACTCGCGTTGTCCACCAACCCGGTTAAAGCGCCGGACATTCGCTTTTCGTCCTCTCAATTTCGTTAACAACAGTAGTGCCACGAGAAGGCAGTGAGTGGGACTTCCCTGGCAGAGGCTATATATTCGCTGTCCATGAGAGAGCATTTCGAGAGGGAGAGGTGACTCTCCCCACTCTCGGCCGTACCAGGGCATTTGGAGGCTATGATGTTACATCCAGAATAATGTCTGTAGTCCTCCTATGACTATGTATTTTCAGATCGAATTCAAATAAGTAGGAACTTAGATGGTCTTGTCTCGCAAAGTCACTGCAGTTGTTCTGTTCGACCTGAAAGTTTCAGTCAACCGAATGTCTAAAAGATCTTGCTTTTAGCCACATTAAATCATTTTAAGCATCCTATCTTTTACCTGTTTGTCCAACCTTTTTTTCATTGTTTACTTATATTCAACCGCGTAACAGACTTCACTCCATTAAAAAAATGTTAGCACTTTTTAATATGAAAATTGTGGTTTCAAGTGAAGACGAGACTTTATTACTTTGAATCATATAATCACTTAATACAAAAATTGGACTGTAGTAATTTAAAGCAACCAGTATGTTTTATAAATTTTAATCGAGCGATGAGAAGGAAAATGTGATGTATTTGTGCCATATGTTTTGAGCAATCTGGTCGCAC